AAAGTTATAGTTCACTTCAGTCAATTTCGTTCACTTCCTGCTGGAAATCATCGAAGGATTAGCATTATTACGTAAGGATAACCAAAACATTTGTTCGCATAAATTACTCATCGTCATTGACCTATGCTCGTTTCGTTACATTATATTTCACACTCTGTTCAAATCATTCAACACTCTGAAATTCCTCTCCAAGTTACTTCCTCGCTTGGATATCTAATCCCTTAATGTCATACATTCGAAATTCGCTAAATCCATCGCGTATCTTTCGTTACCTTATTAGACCTAATCATTTTTGTAGCGGTGTGGTCATTAAGGATTAAGGTTTCAGACAAGAAGAATAGTATAGCATTTCTCAGGCCAGTGATAATTTTTAATTAGGTTTTCTAAATCTTGATCAAGAAATATTGATCCTTCACATCTCACTAAATACCCTCTTCACTAAAAGTGCAAAATTTTGAAAGAAGTCGTCATATTGAAGCCCGTCAAATAACTTAGAAAAGATCAAATGCGTGAATTCTCGTTCGCCTTGTTCAGTCACCAATATCATAGAATCGTCTGTGGAACAATCAGCACTCATTCAACTGGATTCATAATCTCAACGGAGCTCGTATTCTACGCAGTTCGATGGACACAGGGACCGACATGAATGCTGAATGCTCAGTGCTCAGTTACTATAAGCTTAAAGAAATCAGTTACTAAGTACAGGCTATCAGAATCAAAATTGCTGGGATGAGATGACGGATTGATGAGTTCGTTAAGGAAATCATGTGAAATGAATAATTCGACAGCGCGAAAGTAGGCGAACGAAAACTAAGGTAAAGGTATGAGAGTGAAATGAATTGAAATAACACAAAACTTTCACTTGATTGATAAATTGAAACGGATGCATTGAATAGATAAATGGATTGATTTTTAAAGGATTCAATTCGGTAATTTATTATTTTACTAAACTTTACACTTATCACTGCAATGTGCACTGAAAACTGTCCATCGTTCACTTGATGTTCTCTGCTGGTGATGTTGATGAATAGCATAGAATTTATAAAATTCAACAATTTGAATAGTCCAAGCGTTAAGTTAAGCAACAAGCGTTACGCAGTCTTGACTACGGCGGCTATACGGCCATTCGAAATATCATTCAGCGCTATTATCAGTTGGGTGTTTCAGATCACTTCGAGCCATTATCGAATCATAGTTCAAAGGCTGACTACTGACTGACTTTCAATGAGTAATCAATGCCTAGCCAACCCTTTTCTTAAGCCATTCTAAGTCACTGCGCTCACAACTGCACTTCTTCTTAATATCATTATGATAATATGATTATTATTAGTGGCTGTTATTGCTATTTATATAACTTTACTTGATTTCAGCCGTAATCGCCAGCACATAATATTGTTGGAATTCAAGTTTCATGATCTGTATCGCGTATCATTTGTTTTCGGATGTCTTCACTAGTTCTTTAACACTTTCAACAAAATTCTCAAGGATCGTCAGTGCATCAATCAAATTTTCAACTCTCAATTCATTTTTCATCAAGTTCAAGTCATTTTTCTTGTAGTCTATCGTGTTGTTTCATTTCTTCGTCGAGTACGGTTCAAGTTTTTTCGCCATTTCACGTCACTACTCCATTATAGTTGTACGAAGAATTTCAACTATTGAACGACCCGACCCACCTACGCTAAGTTGAAAACGTTCACGATGAAAACATCGATCGCTCTGCTATTGATCTTACCTGGTCAAGCTGATAATAATGATAGTAACGAATTTCATAGCAATTCTTTAAGGAACCAAAAGCATGGCTTCGTCTTTTACCTTTTTTCTACTGGAACCATCCATATCTGCTAAGAATGAAAATACTGAATACAAAAATAAGACTGAAAAAGTCCCATAAAACAGTTTTGACTTTGAATCATCATGATACACGATACTTGCTTGCAGTAGTCAATTTGATGAGATATTTGTTTGACTTGAACCCATATGAATCAATTATTTGTGAATGTTACACAAAATATTTTATTGTCTAAAATTCCAGTTCTAATTCTGCACTGTTTATGAGCTCTAATGAACACATTCGATACAATAGAATAGTGGAATACAATACCTTTGGAATGGAAGCTCAGGAGATGTTTTCGTTTGCTTGACACTCTGAATAAACATTCATTTTCTTTTACTAATCATATTCTGTTCACTCTCGACTATTCGTAACGATAATAAAATGTAACATTTCACGATACTCCATCGAAATCATCAAGTAATCTCAGAACACCACTAATGAACAATGATCACTTAAGAATTTGAGAAAACGTTTCCGAGATCCCAAAAGTATTCGATTGGAATTTCCAAAAAAGTTCAGCCTTCAGGAATATGTCCTCGCGAATACAAAATATTCGGATGTGAAATAAGGCCACTAGCTGCTAACAGTCAGTCATATGTGATGGTTCCTTTGAATGGAACTTATACGTAAAACTGTAATGCTTCTTGCTGTATGATCTGCATTATGATAATTTCTTCATAAAGGATTGCAATTTTTAAATTCGTGTCAGAATGACGTTTCAGCACTTCAACCTCTCCAATGTAATGATCTCGACCTTGAATAAAATCTTCGGATGATTCAAAGTTCATGAGTTGCTGTGAAGAGAAGAATAACAAAGTGATGAATTGAGGATGCATGATATAATAAGTGATATATTATTGTCAATGTTTATTAACCTGATCAAAGCGCTTTATCAAAATGATAACGCTATCATTCCAGATCAAAGAACCATTTGCACTCTCTTGATAATCAATATTCTAGTATGTCCGTCCCCTCGTCAACCACTCAGTCCTCGCTAAATGCTTCACGCCTTGAATCTATCCATATTTTGTGGATAGCCCCCTCAACTTATTCAATTATTCGATACGACTATGTATTCATTCAAAAATAATAACAGCTTAATACGAGTTTATTCTTCAATAGTTGCCTTTTCATACAGCTAACGATACCAGTGCAACAGCTTTCCATATTCACGGATTGTTTCTTGACTCATAAGTTTGTGATCACAAGAGTAAGGTGGGNGGGACGGGGATGGGAAGGAGTGGGGTTGGAGAGAGTTTATCATTCAGTCTGCTCAATAATTTCTAAGGAGATGGATGGACTCTAAATAAACACACAATCTGAATGGTACTATAATTTGCCATAATATTTACAACAATGTTGCTCGTTTATAATTGTAGTGACGACGAATTAATTAAAATGCGTGTGCAGATAATTCTTTACCGAAGAAGTCACTTATCAACTATCAAACCAAATATGTCAGTGTGATCCAATCAACTCGAAAACAATCCAAAAACTTTGTTCAGTTTGTCCATCCATCCATGTGTTGTTTATTTCGTGTTCCTCTCAAATTTCTTTCGATAAACATATATCACTTTATAATAATGCCATGATAATGATGTAACACATACGTTGCTGCTGTTATATATACGTATTGCAATGTGTTTGGTTAGTAACGAGGAAATTGAGAAACTATACAAGCATTGAGGAAATATGATACTTTAACACGATAGAATGTAGCTGGTGAGGCACGAACGCAGTGGTGGCTGCTGCTTCAAAGGAATGAGAGCAGTTAGAAACGATTGTAAGACATCATCGCATTCACTCGATCGCACTTTATGCTTTGACGT